CCGTCTGTCCGTCTGTCCGTCTGTCCGTCTGTCCGTCTGTCCGTCTGTCCGTCTGTCCGTCTGTCCGTCTGTCCGTCTGTCCGTCTGTCCGTCTGTCCGTCTGTCCGTCTGTCCGTCTGTCCGTCTGTCCGTCTGTCCGTCTGTCCGTCTGTCCGTCTGTCCGTCTGTCCGTCTGTCCGTCTGTCCGTCTGTCCGTCTGTCCGTCTGTCCGTCTGTCCGTCTGTCCGTCTGTCCGTCTGTCCGTCTGTCCGTCTGTCCGTCTGTCCGTCTGTCCGTCTGTCCCTCTGTCCGTCTGTCACAGCCGATTTACTCGGAAACTATAAGTACTACAGTGATGAAATTTGATGGGAATATGTGTTGTATGAACCGCTACAAAATTATGACACTAAATAGTAAAAAAAAGAATTGGGGGTGGGGCCCCCCATACATGTAACTGAGGGATGAAAATTTTTTTTCGATGTACATACCCGTGTGGGGTATCAATGGAAAGGTCTTTTAAAATGATATAAAGTTTTCTAAAAAACATTTTTCTTAAAGTGAACGGTTTTTGAGATATCAGCTCTCAAAGTCGTAAAAAGTATGTCCCCCCCCCTCTATTTTTATAACTACGGGGTATAAAATTCTAAAAAAAATAGAGGTGATGCATGCTAATTAACTCTTTCAACGATTTTTGGTTTGATCAAAGTATCTCTTATAGTTTTTGAGATAGGTTGATTTAACTGTAATTTTGGTTAAGTTATTGTGCTTACACTGAAAACGATGGCTGAACCTTATAAGATAGATCAAAAAATATACTACAGTATTGTACACCTTTTAAAATCCGCGATGATATAAAATCTTTATAATGTAGGTACTTTTTACGAGAAATATTAGCTTATTCAAGCAATACGCCATTAATCCTTATCCAGTAATGTACCTTAAATACATTGTGCATTTGATAAAGTTTAATATTACAAATGTGATTGTTGAGTAATAATAGGTTAAACATATCCATCGAACCAATATTTTTAAAACGCGTTAATCCTATAGATTATTATTACATCGATTCAAGAAGATCGGTCGCTCGCTGCGCTGCAGCGCGTGAGTTGCGGGGCGTGGTCTCGCGCGGGAGCGGGGATAAGATAGCTAACCGCGTCGACCCGAACGGGCAGACACGTGAGGGCAGACGTCGTTGTCACTTGTGCGCGCTAAGAGAATTTCATCGTTCCCATTTACTTCTTTCGCAAGTCGAATTTGGCGTTGAGACTTTTTAATATTGAATTGTACCTATTATAAAAAATAAGTAAGTAGGTATACTGGTTTAATAGGTGCTATTAAACCGGTCACGTACTAATAAATCCCCCAATAATATAAATTCCTTTGTTTTTGGTGCAAATTTTAGTGTTTCGTAGCAGGTTTTTAAAATTTCTAAAGCTTATTGTATATCATCTAACAATGGATACTTTAGATAATACGTTTTCCTACATTCTGAATTATAATAACTATATCGAAGATGATGTGGTTCGCGCATTTCATGAAAAGTTACTTCGGTGCACATCATTTAGACCGCGTGAGCTAGAATTATTTCAACACCCTGAACTGATTGAACCTGTACCTAAAAATGAGACGCACCTTCAAGTAATTTATGACGGTGACGTGGGATTAGTGGGGCACTGGAGTTGTATTTATTACATTAATGGAATACTGCGTGTGTACGATAGTCTTGTTGGTGTTCTAGGAAAATCGCAAAAAATATATGTAAAAGCCTTGTTTCCGTATCTATCGGAGTCATGTATTCAGTTTCCAAGTGTTCAGCGACAACCGAATACTATTGATTGTGGTTTGTTTGCCATTGCTTTTGCCACCTCTTTAGCTCGGAATATTTATAAATACATATATAAAATTAATATTCATACATAAAAGTACAAGGCAAAATATCGGGAGAGTTTAGGCTCCATTCACCAGGTGTATAAATTGACATAATAAGTTTATTATATTTGCTGCTACGGAACCCTTTGTGCGCGAGCCCGACTCGCACTTGGCCGGTTTTTTATTTTCTTTTTCAAGGGACAATCAGGTCAGAAAAATATTTTAAAAGATTAAATAATATTATTACTTTCCCATCCGCATTGACACGATTCACGATATTCATTGCTCAAAAGGCTTTTAATATTGTTCTCGAAAAATTTTCTTTGAGAATGAGATTTGTGTCAAAACGAAGACGTCAAAGGCGACATCCGAGCTCATTTCGAATAAACGAAGGTAAAATTATGACGCAAATGCTGTTTGATGTGTCTCCAGATATTGGATATTGACGCGATGTAGATATTGATTGGAAATATTATTTGAACACTCATTTGTATACTAGCTGTGCCCGCGACTTCGTACGCGTGGAATAATGACTATGGGTAGGCATTTTTAATAATTTAGGCTAATTATTTTACAAATAGACACACACGCATAAATACTTAAAAATACTATTAATTGAAGAAAACATATTTAATAATCTAACCCTTTATATTACGAACAATATTATTTAAATTAGCAATAAATCGTGTAAGCAAATCCAATTGTAATCAATTTGCAGCGGTAAAAATTAATATTTGCATGCGTAGGTAAGTAGCAGTAAGCACACTTAGGCATATTTCCAGCTAGTATACCACACAATATTTTTCCCATGTTAATAAAAAATGTATACCAATCTACTCGAAGTTGGCTTTACGATGTCTAACCTTTGCCGACAATATTTTCGATATCTTCAAAATAAATTCTGAACGTAAAACTGCCTTGATGTCAGACTTCGTTCAATTAAACTCAGATTAAACATCACCCGCGCACGGGCTTCGAACGGCGCGAGTGAGGGTAGGTATATAGTAGGTACAGAAAGCATGAACTTGTTTTAACACAACCAAATTAATTACTCCCCCTCCCCTCTCACGCAGAACATTCGCATATTCGCTGAAAAGAAAATTAATTAAGACTCACAAGCAACAAAATTGGGTTTGCTTCAAATCAGTTTATGATTACTTAGAACTGCGGGTAATAAAATTGTGATTTGTTTTCGCAAACAGAATGAAGAAATTACTTTGTCGGATATTGTGACGGAGCTTTGATGTCGGGAGGTGGATACGTGCCCGGGAAATTGGAATTATTTATTGTTATGTGCCTTTGAGGGCTGCGCCTGGGATGACACATCCAGCATTGTGCCCGGGGCGCGAGACGAGGGTGGCCGAGCGAATGCTCCGGCCCGCTGCGCTCAGAGACGGACAGTTTATTAAGTCGTGTAAATGACGGTCACTCCGCAACAAAAACGGATTTGTTGTTTCCAAAAAGATACTCATTTTTGGGGTCCCGCACCTAACGGGTGCGCTAATAGGATCTTTTTATTTAGACATCCGTGTGTCTTTCTGTCAGGGAATTGTATCTCATGACTCGAAATATATAGTTGATTTTCACAGTATGAGTTTAATAAAAAATATGAAATTAAATAAAGTTAAAATAGGAAGGCCGGGGGGAAAGTAATACGAGAAACTTACTCATTAATGTTTATTTGATTATAGACAACAAGATAAACAAGTTCTTTGACGTTAAAATTTTCCGTTCTGTTCACTTTAAAAAAAATTCAAATGGGTTCATCACTATATTAGTCAATCGTTTTGCTGAACCAGTAGTGAATTTCCAGTTTTGAAAGCCAGTTGCTTATGTATTTAAGTAATTTAAATAAGGGGTTAATTAACAAGTCGAAAATTTTCCCCTAAATCTTCATACACACACCACACATACGTCCATTTACGCCTCTAGTGTATCGCGGGACTCGGGCTGCTGCCTTTAGAAATAAAATCAAATAATCTAAACGGCACATTTTAATGAGTGCTTGTGCCATTAAATTAGTGAAAATTGTCCCGAGCACGATTATTCCGGTCGTTTCGGAGTAGGTAGTTACAGCGCCTGTTGCCCCTGACAGTGCTGATTGTGTTATTAAATATGTTACTGTTATGCTTTAAAGATGAGCTACCGTCTCATTTTATGAAATAGCAGGACAAAGTTAAAATTAGGGCTTAATTACTGAGTGGAATCTAATTTCAAAATTAACTTGGAGAGAGAGACCGCCATGATTATTTCATTAATTCGATGTAGTGATATTTGTGTTTTATTAATTTAATTCACAAACTTAATGACAAGTATGAATAATATAAGTGTCTATGTAATGTGCAGCCGCATGGCGAATATGCCTCGGAAACTTATAACAAGCACTTACAACTTGAAAGCTGCGGTGCTAACATTAGCTTCAAACTTTAGTGAGCTTATCAAATTACCTGTTAATATAATTAAGCACGAGCCACCGGTTACCGGCATTTTCGCTTTAACCTTATTTTAGTTTATTTCTCTTCTGGAAGCGGTGACAAGTCAATCTTCCTCATTACAGGCTTGAACTAAGCGGGGGGATGTACAGTAAAAACCTTATATTATTTGACTTTTTTCATACATAATGCTATAAAATTTCAGTTTTTCAGGCAGCTATTTACAATTAATGAACTGAATCATGCACAATAAATATTATGTTATATCATATAATGACCTTACCTATATACCATACAGCTGATTTGAACTTGTCCCAATTTATTTACTGATTTTTATTTAATTTAATATCATAAAAGGTCTCTAAACTCATCACTGTTACTGTTTTATGTATTTATAAGTGAAATAACGTTTAAATCTGTGTATTGCATTGTGTTTATGGTGCAAATTGTGCAAATACTTAGAACCGATTTGACAGTGCAATTACGAAAATATTACGTTGGATTTTGTTAACATTGTTCTATCTTTCGAAACAGGTACCTATTTCTTTTATATTTACAACAGTAGTGCATATTTTAGAAACGAAATACTATTATTGTGACCTTATACTGTCACCCGCGTAAGAGGTTATATTTACCTACATTTTTGTCAACCTCCAATTATTGATCAATTGATCCTTTGGCATTTACATTTTAATACTTTATTATTTACCAAAAGAAACAATGCTTACACGTAAAGCCTTTGCTCGCCGGGAGGAGTCCCAACTCCAACTGGCTTTGAGAGATTTGAAGGCAGCCAAAGACTTGATTGAGCAATTAAATAGGGAAAGAGAGGACAATGAGAGGGAGCTGATGGATGTGTGGGATAAAAACAAGCATTTAAAGAAAGAGATGGCTGAGCTGCACACCAACTATGAGACAATTGTAGAGGAACGGAATAGGCTACAATTAATCATTGACGGGTTTGGTGAGTGCAATGAAGAACGTCCACTCATTTAACACGAGACATAAGAATAAACTTGCTGTTCCATCATTTAGGTTGCATAAGATAGGTAATTCATTCTTGGGGAAATGTATTACCATATTTAACAAAATACCACACAACCTTGTCGAATTGCCAATAAACAAATTTAAGATACATATAAAAAATACCCTTATGTCCAAAGGGTACTACAAGGTTCGAGACTATATTGATGACAAGGATGCGTGGTCAGTTCAGTCTGCACATATTTGATGTACTTAAATTTGACTATTCTTACCGTTAGATAATTCCTGGCAATAAGTGGTGACTGAGTTTGTTCCGGCGTTTCTTCTCAGCACTTGCCATATGTTTGTCTCGAAGCGCTGGTAGGGCCCAAAAGATAAGGAGACATGTAAAGTGCCCCATAAGGGCTACCTTTTCTTTTTTTATTATTTTCTATTGACGTTCATAAGTGCCACTTGTGGTCTAAACTGAATAAATATTTTTTGATTTTGATTTTGATTTTGATTTTTTGATCACTCCACATTTAATACAAATGAATATCAGATACGAAGAACTTTAAAAGACAAGTGAAACACGTAGGTACCGTTACGTTTATCTACTCTTAAATTGTATGTAAAATTAAACTAACCTTGTAGGTATTGTACTTTTTACAATTGTTGTGCTAACAACCAACTAGATGTTCTCCTCCTCCTTATAGTATATCTTTTATGCCAGAATATTCTCTCTCTTCGCAAAGATATTATGTACTCCCGTATAAAACAGTTACGAGTTTGAAAGTTTGACGCAGCGAGCGCTTTGGGGTGTTAAATGTAATAAATATATCATGGACAAGCCTCGCGGCAGTTTTATTATTCCTGTAATATACAGATATGAACAATATAAGTTTTTAGATATCTTTTGTGATCAGCGATACTTGTAATATGGTAAATAAGCAAGCTTTAGTAAGCTAACTCTAACCTAAGCTTAATTTCTTGATAAAATAGATGAAAATTTTCATGTAAATACAATCTTAAGGTAGACTTTATTTCAAAAGCCAATTATTTCACTCCTTATTTAAAAGGAAATTCTAGCTCTAACCGGATCGAGTCATTCTATTCAGATCGAGCAGCGCTTAGCCGTAATGAGCAGGTTGGCTGGAGTAGTGTTGTTCGGCATTTTCGGATACAAATAAAAGAATAACAATGAACATTACTGATAAGAATACCAGCAATTTTTAATGCTCATGAACCATTTAAATGTAAGTAACTCTGTTTAGCTCTTTTTCTTGTTACGGATGAAATAAAATTTTAATCTGAGAGGCTTTACATTTTACCAACTTTTTCAATCTTAAGAGCTTAGATTTGCGTAATTTATAGTATGTAAGTAGTATGTTCTGCAGATGACGTCGAATTTGATAGAATAGGATTGTCACCATCGGCATTCAGACATCCCTAAACTGCTGCGGTCACTAGCGACCGCGCGCGTTCCGCCGGTCGGCGAGCGCACGAGCCGAGCCACACGGGCGAGCTACCCGCGCTCAAACTACCCGCATCGCTCTTCAGACTAATTGCCGTTGATTTCACGCAACGAGAAGTCATTTGTGGACTCGTATAGCTTAAGTGCACTTGTTGTACTGAGAAATGGAAGGTACAGGTTTTGAGTTGATGAATTTAAAGATTTACGAATTTTGCAGAGTCAAATTTAAAGAAATGTAGGTAGACAGGTACATTATGAATAGATTTACACAAGTACCCATCATAATGACCGCTGGTACCATGCCAGGGGTAATTTCTCTTTTCCCTAAAATCCCCCAACAAATATTAATATTCTAAGTTCACATTTTAAACAAAATGCAGTATTTTGAATCACTTTGAAGACAGCCGACGGCGGCGAGCCACCGTGACCGGCCGCACAAAGCGGAGTCAAACGCCGGCCTTTGATGTCGCCGCCACTGACGCTTGACCACGCCCGGCCTTTCGTTCGGTGACCGGCAGATTTTGTCTTGTTATATGTACGAGTATACTGTTTTTTATTGGTTACTTTGAAGGGATTCAGGACCAACGACAAAAAAACATAGTTTACCAAATGATAGATTTGTAAAGAATGTAAAATGTGGCACTGTTGTACCCTCGATCGACTTACACCCACCTAATGACGCAAACTTCGAAGACAAAGAGGCATCTCGACTAATTAATCAGAAAGTGATATGCTAAGTAAGCCCGAGGCGCCGGGGATCAGTCGTCATCGCTGTGATTGATGATCATTAACCTAATGGCGCTCCGATTCTAAGATTCGGTTTTGGTGTTTGAAACAGACTGAAATGCCGCTTCTTTGGGTACATTATCAATTACACTTACCTTTTAACATGGATTTATTATTCATCAATCACGGCCCCTTTTAAGGAAATCCCAATTGAGGAAAACTTTATTTCAAATGTCAAATTAGTAACTCGAATTAACGCAATACACGAGTGCCGACCCACGCACCTGGTCTACGGAGGTAACTGAAGCACTATTAAAATAATTAAATTATAGCCTGACCAGGAACATAAAAACCCTCGCCATGTTGCGGAAAATTAATGGTACTAATTTCTTTTAATGGCAACAGTAACTGAAAACTTCATTGACATGTCACCTTGCATGTCAGTCTATTGCTGTCAAAGTGTAAACAAACTTTATTTTAAATGTGCGCAATTGATTTTGTGAATTAAATTGCTAAAATCTTTTTATAGTCGTGAAAGAAAAGTGGTTCACAATGTGTTAAAGTATTTGTCGAAGAGAAATACTAAGGGTTCGGACAATATTTTCATTGAATAATGTTTCCGACAAAGGTTGTCAAATTGACTGACATGTTTATCGTATAGTACAGTCAACTATGAAAATTAGCTGTGGTTTGTTTCAACTACCTATTTTAAAGTTTTTTGACACTTTGTAAGTATTGAATTTTATGGAATTGGGAAAGAAGTACCGAGTTTGAAGCGTTCATGAGCAGACATTGTAGTTGAATATTCAAGTTCAGAATTTGATTATTGATGAATAATAATAAAATCCTACTTGCTCGATTGATGGTTTCATTTAATTTATTTAAACCAGTTTACCTATAATATAATATGTTTTTGTTAATTTATGAAAATATTAAATAAGCCTATAATCCTGAATCCTGATACATAAAGTTAGCCTATTAATTTAATACAGGTACGACTGTACCCAGTGTTGCACTATCAAATGCAATTGAAGCGCCTCTATGCCAGGGTTTTTATGTTCCTGGTCAGGCTATACAACAGTTTTTTGTCGTAAAAGACTAAATGCCGCACCAAAGGTCAAATGTTCAAGATAACTGAAAAGTAAAAATTTAATTATGAAATTCAGTAGAATACAATTTGCTTCTTACAAGCATGAACTTCAACGATGGGAAACAAAAACATTTCATTTGAACCATTAACCATACCTGACAATATAAATAGATAGAAAGTCATGGACACCATAAGACATCTTGGCCACATTATTGCTTTTTCCCGTGATTTGTGAATGAGTGGATATAGTGACAACAATTTCGTCACCGAACAATAGTCTTATTCCCCTTCTTGTACTACAGGTAACTAGCCACGTGGCTGCCCAGCGGAGCGGTGGCCGGCCGGCGGTGGCTCGTGGCCGGCGGTGGCTCATAGCCAAGCGGTGGCTCATAGCCAAGCGGTGGCTCGGCGCCGCTGCCCCCTCGTCGCACCCCCACCGACTCCCTTTGGGTAGTGGGATGGCTCGATGTCGTCAGGTACCTACTTCTAATTGCCTTATTATGTTTTGTTTAGGGAGGGTGTGTTCATAAAAAAGTAGCTTTTAAAAACGTAATGGATCAGTCCAATTAAGTACTCATCAAAAATTCAAAACACAACGTACCAAGCGTTATAATACTTAGTATATCATCATAAAAGCATATTTTCTTTTCCATTTCATAATTAATTTCGTCAAGATAGCTTTTGTTTGATGAAATATATGTTTAACTTAACAAAATTCTGAAGTGAACAGACACGGTTACCGGAAGGAATTGAAAGCTAAATTAATTTATGAATTTCAAGCGAACAACGAGTTGGCTTACTGTTTCTTCGCTTTAATTGAACCGCTTGCGCTTGCACTAACTTTTTCTAGTGTCGGACAATATATCGATACGGGCTATCGATATTTGATAGGTTGACGTGAAAGCTTCGTGGGTTAAGCTTGATAATGAGCGATTAAACCTATTTGAAAAATTAATTGAATCAAAGGATAAATTGAAGTAAGTTTGATTACTGAAACGTATGTAAGAAAAAGTATCATTTATTGCACTTCTGCTTAGCCATACTAATACTACTTGTAAATCGTAATTCCTTCCTCCACAGGACAGGCAATGCCTAGTGTGGAGGTCTGTCTTTTGTTTCGTACTAGGTACTTGATATGGCAATAAATATTTTATTTTCATTTTCACTTGACACGGCCAGCTGAAAATGACAATGAGTCCATGCCAAGAGCACTATGTACTGTTCTCTCTGTCTTGAATAGAACAGCATTTTCAGACAAACATTCGTGCCATTCTCAACTTCGCGAGTAGGTACAGAATAATAAAATATTACACTATCGATAGTCAAGTGACGACCTGCATCACTACGTTCGTGTCTAAATAACAACTTGCAAAAATATGAAACTTCTGTACTCCAGGCTTTCAATTATAGAACCGCTTTGGAGGCCAATTTGCCGATTTGTAAAAACTTCTGTTTCCCCTTTTGGACTTGTTTGAAATTGCCGTGAAGGTTTTGTGCAGTCATGATGAATATTTTTAAGTAATATTTTGTACAATATTACAAAAGCGTAATATAATTGGGAGTGTATGTACTATGTACTCTACTTTTTAAGAAACTAGATGGATCTCGAATAAACTTTTGCGATAAGTTAGGTGTGATGTATTTTGAAAACTACAAGACCTTTATACCACCCTAGACTGTATCTCACTTAACATCAGGTGCAATTGCGGCC